CTACTGCTACTGCTACTGCTACTGCTACTGCTACTGCTACTGCTACTGCTACTGCTACTGCTGTTGCTAGTACTACTACTCCTACTACTACCACTACTACTGCTACTGCTACTGCTACTGCTACTGCTACTATTTCTGATACTATGGCTACGACGACGACGACGACTACTACTACGAATCTTACTTGTAGTAAATCTAGCACTTATGCGGAGACTGCGAAGGATACCAATCAGAGTGCTATTTTTTTAAAGGGTAATATGACGACTATTAGACAGCATTTCACACATAGTGCGAAGAAAACTTAGAAGACTAATACCCACATATGATACTACGACGTCTAGTATACTAGTAGGACGAAGAAGACGAATAACACGACTGCTACGACTACTAATCGTACAAGTACTAATTTAGCCATAAGGTCAGTACGAATAACACTACTACTAATACGGCTAATAGTACATGTAATAGTATTACCGTTGACCCTCATAAGAATGCTAAGAAGAAGAGGAGGAGAAGGTGGGAGGAGGAGGCGGAGGAGGAGGAGGAGGAGGAGAAGGAGGAGGAGGGAGATATGGAACAGGATGACAAGGAGGTGGAGGAGGATCATCCATGCAGCAGGAGGAGGAGGAAGAGGACCCTGAGGAATGCCAGGCCTTGCGAAAATCGCTGCCGCCTCGGCCGCGAGGAGCACTACGCCATCGGCGAGAAGCTCGGCTCCGGCGCCTACGGCGTCGTGGCGAGGTGCAGGAACGCTCAAAGAGGGAGGCAGGAAAAGGAAGGAGGGACACAGACGCTTTCGGAGGAGGAGGAGGAGGAGGAGGAGGGGGGTCATTCACAAAAATCACGACGGGAGCTGTGTGGCCGTTTTCAGCCTCTTGGGGCCCTTGCCTGGTCTCGGGACCGTCGAAAGACAAGTCAGGACGGGCAGACCGTCCCCAGGAATGGGTCGAGACCTTTGGGGGTCCACGTTATGAGAAAATTCTTGACGCTGGCCGTATACCCACCAGCCCATCCTACACCAGGCTCTCGAGTGAAGAGCGCCGACCATCGGCAGCTGTTCTCCTCCTCCTCCTCCTCCTTATCCTCCTCCTCTTACTCCTCTTCCTCCTCCTGGTGGCGTCTTGGAGCTCTCTCGGGGCGTTTTGGTGGGCCCAAGAGGAGGGTCCAAGACGTCTCTTGAGGCCCTTTCAGGAACATCGATCACAGAAGGGGGGAGCTTCAATTAGCGTCGCCCCTCTGGAGCCCCCCAAGTCGCCTCTTGGAGCGCTCTTGGGCTCTCTCGGGCCCCTGTTGGGGCTATCTTGGGCCATCTTGGAGCTATGTTGAAGCCTCGGATGGTCATTGTAAGCGCAAAGACGATGACACCAACAACATTGATTTTCCCTAGGGTTTTGAAGCATTTTGGCTTCTTGGGGGCATCCTTGGGGAGCTCTTTTGGACACTTGGAGCCGTCTTGGTGCCGTCTTGGAGCGTCTTGGAGCATCTTGGAAGCTATCTCGAGGCATCTTGCGCTATCTTGAGCCATCTTGGAGACTATCTAGGGCTCCCTGAGGCCATCTTGGAGCCAACTTGGGCCATCTTAGACGCTCCGACACCTCGCGGAACCCCCTGTTCAGGTCCATGGGGAAGGGGGAGGCGGAGGGGTAAACCCCTCCCAGAAGGGGATGAAGGAGGGGTGGAAGAGGAAACTCCCTAAACCACCGACGCCCAGAGGGCTGGTGGGATTACGGCGTCGAGGGTCTGGGGACGGGGGCAATCAGGCAGGCCTACAGTTGACCCGCATAGTAAGGATGAGCAACTTTCCAAGGTTACCCTTGCATCCTTCCCCTTCGGCCCATCCTTGGCCGCTTTCGCTGGCCGCACCCCGCTCGCAAAGTATCAATATGGCCTTTCAGGGCCCTTGGATACTCGTGGGGAGGAGTTGGGATAAGCGGAGTATGGGGTGGGGAAGACTTGGGAGGACAAGGAAGGGTGCAGTGAACCAGAACGCGCGCGCACCACAGTTTGGCTCGAGAGGTTCTGGGACAAGCCTGCGAAGTCGAGCCCAGGTTCCCTCGATCGGCTGCGCGAGATGGCTTCCTGGGTCCCGGTCGCGGCGCTCGCCCTCGTGGCGACAGGAGCAGCAGCCGTCGCAGCGAACCCAGCGGGCTGCGCGGCGGACGAGGAGGGCGACGGGGTTGGGCTGCTGCAGTCGACTGGCACCAGCGCGAGGGTCGGAGGCCACGCCGACGCGGACCCCTCGGGCGGGTGGGTGCCGCCGAGGGCCACGTGTCCCTTCATGTCTACGGAGTGCGGCACGGGCTGCTGCCAGACGATGTACGACTGCGAAGGTCTTGGCCTCCTGGATGGGGTCGGAGTAGATGGGGTCGGAGGATCGCGCCGCATCGCCGATGTATCGGCGATGCGGCTCGATGCGGAGCCCGAGTTTCTCCACGCCGACGTCGCCGCTGCGTCGCCAATGTCGGCGGTGCATCGCCGATGAATCGCCGATGCATTTGCG